ATAAAATCGTATATATATATATATATATATATACAAGAATTGCTCGTTTAAAAGTATAGGATACAAATCTAAGCCTTGTATCTAATTAACTAAATGTGCACCGTTATGTGATAATTACTAAAACATCACAACGAAATCCATATTCGCCTCATTGCTTTCTATACTTATTTATGATATCGTTGCAAGAATGAGAAGCAACGAATATCAACGAAGAACATTGGTTAATTCGTGGGCTGTTTTGGCAGATTGTTCCTCAGTTTATGTTATGCGTTTCGGTTTCGTTTTCGTACGTTCATTAGATAGTTGGTTTTGAATATGTACTTAAGTTTATCGATTATATATTGATAATATAACGTTATTAGTATAATATTATATTATTATTTCGGTCGTTATTCAGTCTCATATCTACTGGTAGAGCTGGGCAAAAACGCCTTATAAAAAACGAGACGAAACAGTTATTAGACAAAAAGAAACGGTTTCAAGAAACTGTTTTTTAAAAAACGCATTCAAATTCATATTGAGCGTACTTATAAAACGAACTTCCCTTCTTATTTTATCCAGGCTTAGGACTGGCAGAAAAATATTTTGTTTTAAGTGATTTTTTAAATTAGCTATATTGGATTTATAACTAAACGATTCACTACTACATGTCTTACAAAGGGATTTAACGTCTTGAAATTTATCAAAATATTTCCTTAATTAGCTGCAGTTTGTATTTGTGACATTGTGAAACTATTACACAATTACACTTGTCAAATCCAAAGAAGTCTAATTTTAAAATAAAAACCAATTTTACACTATATAAGTTTTATATCTGATACACTTTGTTTACAATTAATAATACTTTACAAAAACACACATTTACAAGCGCTTTACACTTAAATTTTTATTTATTTACACTCAAGAAACGCTTAATAATGGCGCGAAATTATTACCGGCACAATTGTCAAAATAATACTTATTATGAACTTCGGCCGGACGAACGATGTCCGTCTAAAATAAGAAAAATCAGTTTTTATTTGTAAATATATATTTGTTAAGGAAATATCAGCGCAATGATGATCATCATTACAGCCCTTCACAAGTCCACTGCTGAACATAGGCCTCCCCCAAGTAATGCCACAAAGCACGGTCCTGAGCCACCTGCACCCATCAAGTTCCTGCATATCTTACCAGGTCGTCACTACATCTAGTGGGGGGTCACCCTACACTACGTCTACCGATACGAGGCTGCCACTCGAGAACATTTCTTCCCCATCGGTTATCGGTTCTTCAAGCTATATGGTCGGCCCATTGCCACTTCAGCTTACTAATCCGTTGGGTTATGTCGGTCACTCTGGTTTTACTGCGGATATCCTCATTTCTGAGTCTATCGCGCAGAGAAACTCCGAGCATAATAATAAATCCTCTCCATAGCTCACTGAGCGACCTTTAGCGTCCTCATACGGCCAGCAGTGAAGGACCACGTCTCAGATTCGTAAGTCGTCACTGGCAACACGCACTGGTTGTACAGTCTAGTTTTCAGAGTTTGAGGTATACCTGACGTGAAGATGTGTCGTAATTTCCCGAACGCTGCCCAGCCGAGTTGAATCCGTTGATTGACTTCTCGGTCGGACTATTTGTCCCAGGCAAACGTACTCGTCAACAACTTCGAGCTTAGTGCTCCCAATAACTACCGGCATAGGTGTGACATGGACATTAAACATGATCTCTGTTTTTTCCATGTTCATCTTAAGACCTTTCCGTTGGGAGACACCATTGAGGTCATTGAGTATGGTGCTTAGGTCCTCCAACGATTCTGCCATAAGGACTATATCGTCGGCAAATCGAAGGTGAGTGATGTACTCGCCATTGATATTAATACGTCTTTCAATGCTGCAGCGAAGAGTTTCGGGGATATAACGTCACCCTGTCTTACACCTTTTTGCAGTTGGATAGGTTTCGAACTCTGGTTCTGTACTCGAATAGATACATCGTAGCCCTACTGTACAAGCACTTTAGCACTTGGATATACTGACAGTCAACTTGACACCGCTGAAGGGACGACCACCAATCAAAGGCTTTCTCATAGTTCACATACGCCAGCCAAAGTGGCAGATTGTACTCTTCGGTCTTCTGTACAATCTGCCGCAGGGTATGTATGTGGTGTATGGTACTGAAGCCTTTTCGGAAACCGGCTTGTTCGGGAGGCTGGAAGTCGTCGAGTCTGCGTGCGAGACGATTCGTAATGACTCTCGAAAACAGCATATAGACGCGGCTCAGAAGGGAAATCGGTCTGTAGTTCTTCAAGAGAGCGTTGTCGCCTTTCTTAAAGAACAAGACCACCGCACTTCCTAAGATATAAATTAATAGATTTCAAGAAATGCGACGAAAAACAGTTTTCATTTGAACATATTATATTTGTTAAGGAAATTTCAGCGTAATGATCCTGGACCTAAGATATAAATTACAGAATTACAAGAAATGTGACGAAAAACAGTTTTTATTTTTACATATATTTGTTAAGGAAATAACAATAATGCGTAATGATCATAGACCTAAGATATAATTTACAAGATTTCGAGAAATGCAACAAATACAATTTTTATTTGTACATATATTTGTTAAGGAAATATCAGCGTAATGACCATAGGCCTAAGATAAATTGAAATGCGACGTTCCGCGTTTGAGCGTCAGTTCGCTCCGTCTTGCTCTTTATATGCTGTTTGTGAAAGGAGTATAAGCACAATACACATTAGATAGAACCCTTGTATTGTTCCCTAGCTCGTTCGAGGACGAGTAATAGTAAAACTATTTTTTCGTAAAACAGTTTCTGCCACAAACAACTTACTGATTGTAATGGTCTGTGCTGGTTATTCGTGTCATTCGTTTCGTTCGGCGACGTACGTTCCGCAGTTTCGTTTTATTTCTAAGAACTGTGAACAAACAAGAAAGCGTTTCTTCCATGGAGTATAGAGGTAAGGAGGACAATCTACCATAGGAGACTAGTTGAAAAAGTGTCCATTTGTAAGCAGTAAATAACAGTTCAAAAACTCTCCACAACAGCGCTCGAGTAGCTACAGGGTATGATAAATCGCCGTATAAATCACCGTAAATTACATTGAGAGTGGTTTTGAAAATAAAAATTTTGAAAGTAATAAAATAATTATAGTAAAAAGAATTATGGTGAAAGTCTGTGCAATAAAAAAAGGACGTGTTGCACTCCTGGAGTGCCGGCAGATGTGAAAACATGAATATTAACGTTGTGCATTTTTGATATTTTGGAATGGTTAGGGAATAATTTTGCACGAATTGCTTTAATTATCAGTATAAAAGTACTATCATTTATGAGGTAGAATACAATATTTATTTATTGCGCTTTCGTACACAAACATGACAATTTATATTACATTCGCGCAAGCGCCGTGCGCCGCCTAAACGAAACAGCAGGCGCATGCATACATTTTCGCCGCGCCATAGAAAGAGAGGGGGATACTTCCTATCCTACGCCATCCATCTTACGATTTTTCGATCAGGTCACGTGTTCTGACGCGAGTTTAACATTTTTTACCCATTACAAAAAAGTGTACAACGACGCTAAAGAAATTTTCACTTCAAAAATTATAAAAATTCTTTATTAGACTGCAGGTACAGTGGCGCCACCTTTATTTAGCGCTTTTCTACGGACACTTTTTTATACAGAGTCGGTATCTCTACACTCCATAGCAGCGTTGTTCTTGATACGGCAATTGCCGTAATATACGGCATTCAGGCATCTTAAGCAACAAAAATACGGTATACGGCAGCTATTTGATTACCGTATTAAAATATACGGTAATTGTCTAAAGTAAAAAAAATATTTCGTATAATGAAACACACCAACTTGTGAACCTTGAAGGTTAGAGAACAGGAGAACGATCACTACGTACTAAAGCATAGCCCACCTGTCCTTGAAAATTGTAGAATTTATGGCAGCGCTGACGTCGGTGAGTAGTGGCTGCGAAATTTAACTGTTTATGAGTATAAGTAGATGAAGTTAATTGAATAATGTACAAATTTTCTCCGCGGCATTGGTGAGAAAATTTTCATGTTCCGTAATTTTGTAATTTTGACAAAAAAAAACATTAAAAAATGAAGAAATATTTTATTGTGCGTGGATGTGCAAGTGGTCTAGCATCTGATCGGAAAAATAGACTGAAAATGACTTTTATTGACTGAACGTAGCAATCGCATCTCCTTACTTATGGTGTCCATATTTCTGGGACACTATTTTCTATGGCGATATTTCTCCTGTTCTCTAACCTTCAGAACCACGGAGATCCGGATCGGTAACGGTAATTGTACAAAATTTTAAGTGCCAAACTAAATTATTCGTAAAATGAAAGATAAAAAACAGTACGACCCAAATGCGACAGAATCAGAAGTACTGAAAACTATTCAAAACCTATATGGTGAAGAATAAAATTAGTACATTTATAGTACACACTTATTTATTATGTAAACAACATGTATTTCACTTTTTTTTATTGTAACCTTCTTATTTTACTATTCAAAACCTATATGGTGAAGCAATGTAAATTAGTAAATTTATAGCAATAATAATTTATTTATTATGTAAACAACATGTATTTCACTTTTTTTATTGTAACCTTCTAAACAAATATTTTGTACAATACGGCATTTTCTTAGTTTTCCCTAAAAATCCGGCAATTTTGGAGTGAGAATACGGCAACTCTAAATTTGTCAGGAACAACGCTGCTCCATAGTTTCTTCATTTCATTGTGAAAAACTGTTGCGTAAAATTGTTTTAGAAAAAAACGCCCAGTCCTATCTATTAGCGACATCTGTTGAGCGAAAGATTATTAGCCGTCATTCATAAAAAAATAATTTTCAAATTTTCTTTATTTACGCTTATAATCGACTTATATAGTGAAAATAAACAATACAGTGGAAAGCTGGAAAGTCATGTGAATGATTGATGTCTTGACTTGTAATTTTAAAGAATATTTTTCAGTAACTTATTGAAGGTAAGTTAAAATCGTTTTACATTTATATTTAATAGAAAACAATAACAGTCTGCAAACCATGGCCTTGATTGCATTAAAATCGTTGACTGGTATTATATAAATAACATATAACTGCCGACATAAGTCGTGAGCACACTTTTTATTGGTCGATACGACGTTGACCACGCTGGCGTTCAACGTGATTGGTTCATTAGTCGATTCTCGTCGTCTATTGGTATCGAACGTTTCATTCGGCTTCCGTACACTTCAGAGCAATAATTTTAATGATAACTTTTTTAATAAGTTTATTTTCGTTAATTGTTTTTGTCAGCTCGTTGTTAATTGTTGTTTGTGTATTCCTTGTTATTAATTGTTTTTGTTATTTCTTGTTTTTAATTATTTTTGTTGTTATAATTTGAGTGTTCAGATTTTGGTCTAAATATGCAGAGAAGGAAGAATTCGGTGTTAAATAGACAATCCCGACAAATTTTCTATTCAGTGTTTAGTTACATGAAAAAATTAGGTACTGCAAAAAACATCATAGACGTATATCAACAGACTGCTGAGGCGACTAATGTCTTAGTAGCTACTGTACGGCGCACCGCAACACCATATTTTATGGAAGGCATATCACCTCGTCCTTCTTCTTAATAAAATAATCAATTCTAACCACCAAGTATACATAAAATACTTTATAGTACATAATAAAATAACGGACATGAATTCTGCAACATTACTGTATCAAAGTAAAAGTTGATGTGTTCGAGTAAACATTTACATAAAAGTCGCCGAAAATATTAAATTACGGATTGAAATAATAAAGGTATCCAATAATTTTGCCCGACAGTGTACCTACCTCCCACCACAGTTTATCTGTGCTCACTACTCGTGTCGGCAACTATACATAATTAAAAGAATAAAGAACTGTTCTGAATAAGCAAGTTTGTACTTGTAGCCCACTTTTCACTATGGGATATAATATAATTTAAATTACATCTCGAGATATAAATTAATATCGCTCACCGTACTTTTAAACGAAACCGTTTACACTAAGATATAATTTATATTAAATCCCAAACTATAAATATTTTTTGATTGACTGAGCGATATTTTCATATTATATTTCACCTCCTGTACCCTGCACACTTTTCCGCGCCTCCGCTACGTCCTCAGATCGTCCAATGTTTCCCTATATAATATTGTAGTCTTTGGCTCTTTGGTCCAATGACGAACGCACACTGGTTAAAAGATATATCTCACAGTGTGAAGAGTAATCGTGGGATATAATTTATATCTTGGGATATAATATATATTTTATCCCAAAGTGAAAAGCCAGCTTAAGTAGTAAAGTTTAAGATCATTTTCTATAAGACAAGCTGCTATTTTACACTGGTATTCTGTGAGAGTGTGGTCAAACTGACCCATTTATGCTACAACTATACTACTAATATAGTTGCAGCATGGCTCTACCATGTGAAAATAAAGTACCTGCTGCCTTGGCCTTGCTTGCCTGCCTGATAAATTATCAATCTTTTCACTTGCTATTCGATAGAGGGTAGTATACCATCTCGTTTACGATATTCGTATGTATAAAATACCCAAGTGTGATGGGGAGTAGTGTCAATGTTGCGATATATTTAGTACTGAGATCGAGAGCCTGTTAAATTAAAACCGGCAATTAAAGCAAATGCGACCCAAAATAGGTAAGCCAAATAGGCACCAGATAAACTAGCTACCTATCACTTCCACCAATTTTGCAACTATACAATTTTTTGGTTAAAAGTGGTCCAAGTGGCTCTCTGCTCTTTAGAATCTACCTACCCCCTCGGGTATTACAGTTGTGACTGTTACATATAATATGTATGTATGTAATATTTTAGGATTGCACTGGTTAATCCCTCAAGTTTGAACTTTTAAATCTATATGAGGTTTTTTACAGTTGAGCCATATCAAACTTTCAAACTTTTATTTGTGCAATTGGTAGCATAATAAAATTTATTTAGAAATTATCATTAATTAAAAAAAGTCAAATCTGTTATTTAAAAAGTTGTCTTTGTGATGACTCCAATCTTCATTTTAGAGAATAAATGTTATTGGAAAGAATACTCATTTTACACTTTTAAGTCTACAAAAAATGGCTGTAATTATTTATATTACAGATGTAAATAAATTAAATCAGTAATATAATATAATTTATTTGATATTTTATATATAAATAAATCTTATGCAAATAGTTAAGTGCAGGTAACATAAAAATTGCTCATTCCCATGCAGGGATGTTATGTAGATGACTTAGATATGTCAGCGGCCGCCGAGACGCTGTCGGAGGACAGCGCGAGTCCGGGAACGTCAGCCCACGGGTCCCTCAAGGCGCCCCATGCTACTGACAAGCACATAGTGCACTGGTTTCGAAAGGGACTACGCCTTCATGACAACCCAGCTTTGCGTGAAGGACTCACTGATGCTGTCACGTTTCGTTGTGTTTTTATTATAGACCCATGGTATGCCAGCTCTTCTAATGTTGGAATTAATAAATGGAGGTATGTATTTCTAATGATATTATATAAAATTTTATTGTTAGGTGTTCTTCAAGAGACATTGTTCATAATGAATTTATAAAATTCTGTTAGATTCCTTCTACAATGTTTGGAAGATTTAGACAGAAGTCTGCGCAAGCTAAATTCGCGTCTTTTTGTGGTCCGCGGCCAACCGACTGATGCTTTACCAAAGTTGTTTCGTGAATGGGGCACAACTGCGCTCACGTTTGAGGAGGACCCTGAACCTTTCGGCAGAATTCGGGATAAAAACATAATGACAAAATGTCATGAGATTGGCATCAGCGTGATCTCAAGAGTTTCACATACACTCTATAAATTAGACAAGTAAGTGTCAGTATAATGTATTGTTGCATTGAGCACTTTGATTATTCACAAAAATAAAACGTGGGTATATAATTTACGTTTTATAAAAACTACATATTATAAACTTGGTATAAGTTAATATACTTTTTTTTGTATGAAACGCTGGTTTTGTATACAAGTGTTCCAGTTTCAAATTCACATTTTGTCACGAGCATAAGTTGAAATATCGTGTTCGTGTTTCATTGAAAATTAGATCGGTGTCGTAAACATTTCCTCACGAAGGATTGCCTAAAATCGGACGAATCTCTTGATACTTCAAATGACATTAGTGAGTAAAGATCCTACTAAGGAAACCATGTACCGCTAGTATAAAAAATATAAGCGCTACTAATTTGTCAATTCAAACTTAGTGAAAACCTTTCAATTTCACAACAAATTCAATTACTGTACAGTCGTGCAAACATAGCAAAACCACCTCCCGTTCGTCTCGTATTGTTATTTTTCGCACTCATCGCAGACGCAAGAAACGTCGCGCTAGTGTGGCACACGACTAAGAGTTAATATTAGTTTATACAAACTTGCATCAAATCCTCTTCATCTGCCCAATAGGTTCCAATACTATGGGGGGAAAATTAGAGAAATTCAAAGATCTTTCATACTATTTTAAGAAAGGTAGTCTTTATCTAATTATTTCACAAAAAAAACCGAAAAAAATAAAAAAATGCTTATTATCGCTTACTCCTAATCAATTAACCGATTCTTACAGGATTATAGAGTGTAATGGTGGTAAAGCACCACTGACGTACCATCAGTTCCAAGCGATAATTGCAAGTATGCCGCCACCACCGCCCGCTGAGGCAATGATCTCGATGCAAGCTCTTAATGGAGCCACCACTCCGCTCACTGATGACCACGATGACCGCTTCGGAGTACCTACGCTCGAGGAATTAGGTTTGTAAATGTACAAAATAAATTAAGCGAATATTTATTTAATTTAGATTGTTACAAAAATTAAATTTCATGAAATCTTGCCAAATGTTTCCAGGATTGTGGAAAATAAGGACTTACTTAATATAATACCAGAGTTGAAAATAAAAAGTAATTTTTCATATTCTATATTTAAGTTTTAAAAGTGATACAATGGATTAAAGCGATAGGATTAATGATTATAGAACTTATATTGACGTTTAAGTCCTTTGAATCTTACCAAAGTAACTGTTTGCTATAAATACATAAAAATAACTTAAGTCTTTTAGTGGATTTGTTAACTGATAAAAATTTTCGTAGGTATATTAAAACTTATGCAGCTATTTTCTCTTATGTCTTGAACAATTTTGCCTTTGCTTAAATAAGTAGAGCCGTGGTAGCTCCGTAGCTATGCTCTGTTATGCCGTCAACCCGGGTTCGATTCCCGCCGGCACCAATTAAAATGTTAATTGCAATTCTAAGGGCTGATTTCACATACTCGGCGATGAAGGTAAACGTCGTGACCTGCATGTCAGAGATATTAAAATAAATATTTCGAAGACATGTGAAGTACACCAACATGCATTGGAGTTGCGTTGCTAACAATTTCTTGTTCTAAAACCCTCAGATATGCGAGGAGGCCTGTGCTCACCTGTGGGACCAATTTAAGATGTAACTTTACTTTTATTTAAATAATTCCAGGATTCAAGACTGAAGGTCTGAAGCCCCCGGTGTGGATCGGTGGTGAAAGTGAAGCATTAGCAAGATTGGAAAGACATTTAGAGCGCATAGCTTGGTTGGCGTCATTTGGGAGGCCTAAAATGACTCCGCAATCTTTATTGGCAAGCCCTACGGGATTGTCACCATACTTAAGGTAAGGTGTTGCTGGTATGCTATTTAGTTAATAACACGTAACTTTCATTGCTTGTTTTTCTTATTAATCTGGCACCACCTAAGGTACTGTTGCGCGCCATATTTGATGCCTGGTACATGGCTCTAGCGCCATCTAGTATCGGTAGCAGAACTAAGCTTTCTAGAACTTTCTACACCCAGTTGGTTGGTGGACCGGTACGTGCTCGAACGTTCTGGATGTTTAGTGGAAAGGGCCTATATAAGGCCAGTTGGGACGCGGCTGAATGAGTATTGAATTGGCGATCAAGCGAATACTTCGAAGCGATATAATTGAGAATTGTGTTTTATTATTTGTGTGTTTTAAGTTGTAATTAGTTTTCGGTAATTAAAGTGTCAATTTTGGTAATTCAATTGGCAGTTTTTATGGTCACGATCCCTAGCTCATAACAGTACTATACCGCCATCCAAATTTAGATGTATAAGTTATTTAATTAAGTTCACCTGAATATTTAGGTTCCGTCGTTATAGTTAAAAATTAATGCATCATAACTTAGATTAAAAATTAAAAAAACCCCAAAACAAAAAGAATTGATGAACATTAAACAACTGAACAGATTTTCTTGAAACAGATAACACTCTCGAAGACAGACACATATGACATTTCACACCCCTATGTTCTCTCTTTGATGATGAAAGTCTCTATCCACGCAATTTATTCTTTATTTTAGGGAGGGAAAGTATAGAAATCATTAGGGCTTAGGTCGGGGCTGTACGGATGGTCTAATAATTCTATGTTTTCTTGCTCTAAAAACTCTTTTGTTCTGTGTACGGTGTGAGAACTCGCATTGTAGTGATGGAGGATGATGCGGCGGTTGCAGTTCTCTTTACGGAGTTCAGAAACTACCTGTGGCAAACAAATGCTAGCATACCATTCTGCATTAACCGTTCTTTGTCCCTCAAGATGAATAGTCGTAACATGGCCGGTTTTGGAGACAAACGTGGCCACCATTTTTTTGCAACACTCCGTGAACAAACAATTTTTGTTGGCTTTAACTCATTTTCGAACACCCAAACTCGTGACTGGTTTTTTGTTTCGGGTTCGTACGCGTATATCCAGGATTCGTCACCTGATACGATGTTGTATACAGCATTTGAGGATCCTGCGTGGAATTTTTCGAGAGTTCTGACGCACCAAGTAACGCGAGCCGCTTTTTGCTCTTCACAGAGCGAATGCGGTATCCATCGGAAAAACAACTTTTTTACACCTAATTGTTCATGCAAGATTATTTGTATTTGACTCATGCCAGTGTCTAAAGTTGCCTGAATTTCGCGGTATGTCACATGTCGATCTTCCTCAATCAGCTTACGCACAGCATCAACGTTTTCTTGGGTGACTGCAGTTTTTGGACGATCTTGACGGCGATCATCACTGAGCTTGACACGTCCACGTTGATATTCAGAAAACCAGCGATAAATTGTGTTTTTGGATGGGGCTTCATCACCAAATGCAGAAATCATCCGGTCAACACACTGTTTTTGTCTTAAACCACTTCGAAAGTCATTATAAATCATCGCTCTTGAATTTTCTCGAATCAATTCCATTTTCTCAACGACTAAACAAGTTTGATAAAACCTTGTGACAAGACCGAGAATCTTTTTTTAAATAAATAAATGGTATTCGATTTTAAAAATCAAGGAGTTTTCAATTAAAAAGATTTTAATATAACAGGAACAGCGGAAATATTCCATTCCCGATACTTTTAGTGCTGCCTATGTGTTACGGTATAGTCGAACTGTACTGACTGTAACTGAATGTATAAGTGCACTACGCTGTTTTATTGCTGATAATTATTAATTGCTTAAGCAGGAGAGCAAGTTGAACATCCGCTCTCACACTTTTATTATTTTTAACAATTAACCTACTGATGTGTTTCCGACATATTTTATTTTCTATTTTAGGTTTGGATGTTTATCATCAAGATTATTCTATTATCAACTTACGGAATTATACAAAAGAGTAAAACACGTGTGCCCGCCATTGTCCCTGCATGGACAAATACTTTGGAGGGAATTTTTTTACTGCGCTGCTACGCGTAATCTGAATTTTGATCGAATGAAAGGCAACCCGATATGCGTGCAGATACCTTGGGAGAAAAACCAGGAAGCTATCGCCAAGTGGGCTAATGTGAGTAAACGTAATAGAATATAAAATATTGTAGTTTCAAATCAGGAACTAATTTCAAATACTTCTGAAGGGACTTTCTTCAAGAATATTTGAAGTTTGTATGTAAAAAATTAATACTGGTCGTTTTAATTTTTTATATACGAGATAGAGAATTCTAAGTCGCACTATTTAAAATGGCGGTATATAACTGAAGTTTAATATAATTGTCTTGCAAACTATTGCATAATCACTTGTGTTTATAAAAATGAGACATAAGTGATTATGCTGTTATGCAAACCGTATTAAGAACTATCTGTACCCACAACATGACAACATCCTCCTTGCCTTTTTTATTATTTAAAACAAAAAAGGGAAGTTACGGGAATCAGCCGTTAAATCAAGAAAAATATTTCTATCTTTTACACTATGTAGGTACAGGTTCGATTATTTGCACCAAACACGATCATTCAGATATAATTTCTTGTTGGGTCTATTTTCTTATAAAACTGAAGTGACAGTCCACATGCTGGTAAGTGGCTATTGCAGTCCGTGGACTCCTGCAGCCAACTTAATACAATAGGGCAAAAAGAGTGATAATGATGACTAAGTTGCCATTATTTTCTTCGTTATTGTTCATTATTAATTTATTTCTATCGATTTGATTAAATGCGAAATAAATAGAAAACGTAAATTTAGTTTTTATATAAAGGCAAAGAAGAGAAGAGAGCATCACATAACACGAAAATATTTGTTGCAGGCTCAAACTGGCTTTCCTTGGATAGATTCTATAATGATACAATTGAGAGAAGAAGGATGGATCCATCATATATCACGACATGCTGTTGCTTGTTTCCTTACAAGGGGCAACCTCTGGATATCCTGGGAGGAAGGCATGAAGGTAGATATGAATGTTTCGTACAGTATTAACTTTTATTGTGTCATTTTTATGTTGTTTTAGTATTTATTATTTGGATTATCTAACATTGCGTAAACATATAATAGTGTTAATACTAAAAAAATCTAATATATATATATATATATATATATATATATATATATATATATATATATAGATATAGAGAGAGAGAGAAGAGAGAGAGAGTAGTTTAATTTTTTGAGTTTTACTATAGTCAACCAAATCTAAGAAATACATTTTGACAGCTTGACTTATTGCATCAAGCATGCACCAACGAAAAAATGAGAACGTACAATATTCGATTCTTAAAATAATCGATATCGATTATTTAGAGTTGGTAATCATTTACAGTTTGGTTTGAATAATACTAGAATAAATTAAAAACGGATAATTTAAAACAAAAGATTTAACAGTTTCTTCGTATTTTTTTGTTAAGTACTGCTTATTTCTAGAGGCATAGTTATAAAAATTTAAGATTGAAACTAGATTGAAAATTAACTTATTCAATCACTTTCAGTACAATTAGTTGAGCTGTCGTTGTTTAGATTAATTAATATTTGATTTTCAATAATGCAGTCAAAATTAATGTCTCTTTCAAAGTCATCCGTGAGCAATTTTTTTATTTTTTCTACCACTTTTGCCCAATCATCCTTTGTGACATGGGTAGATGCTTCAACGAATATAGAAGAAACAGTCCAAAAAGTTAAATCCGAGACACAAAATAAGAAGGCAAACACAAAATTACGCACAGTAAGCTCCCGAAATGGCGGGAGATTAAAATATATGAGTTTTTTTTGCCTACACAAATTTACGATAACAAAGTAAAAAAATAAACTTGTTTTATTCATGATTAATGTAATTTAAGGAATTTCAAAAATAAAATTTTTATTAAACAAATAATACATTAAAAAAATAACGATTCGATTATTTGAATATTTTTACCGATTATTTGAATATTTTTTCCGATTACTCGCATAACAATAAATTTTAATCATCCTAACACTACAGTAAGGTACATAGCGACATATCATTGAAACGACGTTAGGTAAAAAACTTGATACTGGTTTTTTTTTTGCAACAATTAAAAATTGTCCTCTGACAAATGACGGAATAACCATCTCGTTAACGCTAGATGGAAATTACTTTGACCAAACACTAGAAAAATGTATAATGTATGTGTATTATTTGAAAATAATAAAACAATATGGGGTATTTTTGAAACGCTCCCGAAAATGAAGAGATACCATAGTATTAAGAGCCCTCTTACATTTCGGCGTTACGCAAATTTAGGTATTTTGTGCTCCGAGCGGGCGATGACCTACGCTAGCGATATTTTATTTCCTATCTCTATTCATTTGTTTCATATCTCTATCAATTCGTTGTTACTGTGTGTATAGCGACTACGATCTTGATCTTCCATTACATAAGTTGTCGTAGGATGGAGTTCAGTGGATGGAAATTTTTTGATATGTCATTTTTATGTTATCTAATTAATTTATTATAATCTATTTGGTATATTTTCATTATTTATGTACCTTAGTGTTGAAATAAGTACACATAAATAGTTTAATTGTTTCACACTTATCGATTGTTAACTAATGTTCAATAATCGATTATATACATTAACGGTAGCATGGTGGCATAAATAAATAAATAGTATGGTTATAATCTGTTTTAATAAACAATATAACCAACTGTAACTAATATTTTTTTAATCGGTACTTACAGTCAATTACCATATTTTTTATTACAAAAGTATTTGCCGCAACGGCAATGACCGAGCTTATTTCGAGTCAATAATTTCAGGCGGTACACGCTTTTTATAAAACGCTTGTAACTTGGGTTACTTGGGTAACATATTCAAAATCTAAAACTTGTCGTCTTTGTAAATGTTTAGTACTTTTACTGCATAATCTGGGCCAATCAATGTGGCAAGCATGCAGCCATTTTTATACTCCATTATTTTTTCTCCAGAGATAGGATATTTCTTTTTTTTACTTTTGTGACACATTGATACTTGTATTTATTTTTCCCCATTCCGACCGGTAAGAAAGCTCAGCTATAATCAAAATAACTATAATGAGTTAACTATCTGGTATAATAATAATGTTTGAACTTTATACTAATTGAAATATACTGTACGAAAGTAAACACTTCCAACGATTAAAAATTGCGGGTGCAGTTGACGATGCTCTAGAACAAAATAGCAGCGCCACGGTCATCGACGCACACTACGATAATATCGAAACGATACGGAGCGCGCTAAATAAATTGACACTGGTCTGACCTCGAGAGCCGCTGGCGCGGTGATGAATTCAGATGGCCGACGCAGTGATATATATGGTACTTATATCTAATTAATTAAAAAATAATAGTAACGGTTTAAAAAAGTAAAAATCATAGTACAGTTTAAGCAAATGATGACTATTTTGGTATAAATTTTACGTCAAAATCATGTAGAACTTCGAAGATATTGGGGCTTGTATTGAAGTTTTTTCGGTAGGTAATTGAATAATGTCGATTTTTTTCCTTACGTGAAAGGCATATAACGAAAATGTATTTTATTATTATTAAATTATAAGATATTTGTGAGAAAAAAAATATTTTTTATTGGTCGATATTCAATAGAATCTACAAATTAGAGCTTCCAAATAATGTCTCTCACAGTTTTGGCCTAAACATACATAGGGAGAATGATTATTACTAAATAAATAAATAAGTTATCTAAAATTTGCCTTGAGCTTATTGCAGTAGAGAAAACGAACTATTTTTACCAAATTGTTATTTCAAGCAACGAACGGAAAACATATAATTTCAACGAGGAAACCTTGTAATTTCGCGTTTTTTTCTAATAAGGATAGCTTTGATGATGAGTGTTTGGCAAAACAGTTCCAAAAAGTCTGGGAAAATGATACTAATTCAGATTCCAAGAACGGATAATTTATTTCGTATAAATAAAAGTGCCTTATGCTATATTAACTAACGAAACTATCCATCGCGCGCCATCTATAAAGAAAAAATGTAATCTTCTTAAAAACTAAATTTATATGTTTATAGTACATTCCGCCCACCAAGGACACTTAGTCCTTAAGTACAAAAACTAAATTAATAATCTGAAATATAACAATAAAAATAACAAAAATATTTCTTTTAAATAAAATTGTGGACTGTAATATAATATTCACAGTAAAATTTAACACTTTTCATTAGTTAGGTACATTTGCAATTTGATAAAATATTCTTTACAACTAATAGCAATGAAAGATACATTTTTAATCCTTAACATTTAAAATACATAATTTTGAAGCTGGACGTTTAAACAATGAGTTTTTGCAACGCAAAGTTATGATACGGGTTATATTATCTTTGTCTGGATGAATTTTTATAACCCTACCAAAAAGCCATTTAGCGGGCGGTAAATTGTCTTGTTTTACCAAAACAATATCGTCAACTTTTGGCTCAGCTGTTTGCAAATTCCATTTATATCGTCAAAAAAAATTGACCAAATATTCTTTGTAATGGTGATTAATATAGCGCATAGCGCCATATTATAGCGCGCTATCTCTCCATAACACATAGCGCGTGCTATGTAAGTTAATGCGCTGTGGCGCTTTGGTGCTATTAAGTATTAATATCTAGTGGCAACTAGTTCTAGCAGCAGCGCTGTTGGGAGAGGACGTGTGACGCAAATTTGATCTAGTAGCACGCGACCTAGTGTAGTGTTAGACGTTGTTTAGTTAGTGTATACTGTATATTTATAAGTGATCGAAGGACACAGTTGTCTGCTATAAAAGAAGCCTAACTAATGTTTTTAAATGTAAATAAAATATAGATACAAAAGTGTATATAATAGTGTATGTAAATAGTTGATTTTTATAAATACAATCAATAAATTTTCAAATACACCTGTTGTTTGATTTATAATTTATATTAAGGTTAAAATCTTGTTTACATCAATTATAATAAAAAATAATTAATTTTATTTCGTTTTAAAAAGTACATGCCTTAAAAATATTTTTAGGATTATAGAAAGTCTTAAGCTTGATAAATATGAAAAAGCGTTCATTGGTTTTTCTTTACCGCTTTATTTTATTTTAGTCTAAAATGCGACTTATTACGAAATAATGTTCTTATATAGCACGCGGTCTATCGAATGACATGTAATGTAACGTGCTACGAGATATAACGTGCTGTAAAACTTAATGTGCTTGCCGGCCTCCTACACGCTTTCTTATAAATAACGCGCTATAACATAGCGTATTTAATAGCGCGCTAGAAATTATAGTTTATATCTGCCATATATAGTAAACAATAAAATTTCACATTATTTTTCTTTTTTTGTAAAATAATAATATATAACAAAATTAACTTTTATTGAATAAGTTATATTACTATATCTTAATAGATACATACCTCAGAATTAAATAAATATCACTCAATCAAATAATTTCAAACATAAATCCACACCATTTATGCTGAATGTTAATTTACTTGTATTTTTATTATAGTTTATAGTCTGTAGCGTGCTATTGATTTATAGTCGTTTTGAACAACTTTAATTCTTTGGACCACCGACGCCAAAAGCTCTGTATCATTCTTTGAGTTAATTGCCATCGACGTAAGCTACTCATATTTTGAATTTCGTAATTTTTAAAATGGTTCTGGGTGATTAGGATCACCACTAGCTTGAAAAAGAGGTATTGAGTTTAAACAAGCCTCGATTTGTGAGAGTACAGTTGACATCTTTTCAAATGTGAGAGTTGAATTATCAACAACACGGCGTAAATGATATTTCGCACTTCCCTGCAGCTTCCCATAGTCCACCGAAATTGGGGGGAATAACATGCCAAGTTGTACTATTATTTGATAATACAGTGGCAATCTCATTAGGCATCGAATGTTTCTCCCTAGAAAATAAATGCTTTAATTCCTTTGCCAAAATCCCATTATCGCTCCATATATCACTACAATGGCCGCGGCGG